TGGGGGGACTGTGGGGTGGGGAAGCCACTGAGAGCCTCCATCCTGCTCCAGGGTGGTGGGACTGGGGGGGATAAGAAGGAGTTAGGGGGGTGCTGGGGTCAGGAGGCTCTTGGGAGCCTCCATCCCGCTCGGGGGCAGAGAATCGGGGGGGACAGCGATGGGAAAGGGGGTTGCTGGGGTGGGGAGGTGGTGGCCCTGGTGGGTTGGTCTCTAACGGTGCTCTCTCCCCTGTGCAGGCGCTGCTCTGCGTGTGTGTGTCCCCCCTGTCCCCCACCACAGCAGGCTGCCCGCCACCCCGGGGCAGGATATCATCGTATACTGTAAGTTGGCTATGAGACACTACAGTATAGATGATGTACTCCCCCGGGCGGCACCCCCCGACCGGAGCCCGGCTGCCACGTGGGACCACGACAACTGGGGGAGACGGGAGAGAGGGGACAAATTTGGGGAGGTGTATGGGGGTGGGGAATGAGGATGGGGTGCAGGCAGCTCCGGGCACAACCAGGGACCTACAGCCGGCGGGGAAACCGTTACCATTACTGAGTTTAGTAATGGTAACGGTTCTGCCGACGGTTGGGCACGCGGCGCGGCACGAGATGGCACGGCACAGCATGGCATGACACGCCATGGCACACCATGGCATGGCATGGCACGAGATGGCACGACACGCCACGGCACGCCACACCATGGCACGCCACAACATGGCATGCCATGGTACAACATGGCACGGCACGGACACCACGATGGAGCTTTGGGGACCGGGCACGGGGGCAATAAAAGGGGTTACAGCACCACGGCTCTGGTTCTCCTTCCTCACCACGTCCCCCCGGGGGATCCGGGCCCTGCAGTGGGGCTGGGTCACTGGGGTGTGTACTGGGGTGGTGGGGGGCTCAGGGGTGTGATGAGGAACTTTGGGGTGCATTTGGGTGTAGGGGGGGGGCTGGAGTCCCTGGGGATCCACCGCTGGGGTGGAGGGGGCATTGGAGTGTGTTGCCAGGGGGCACTGGGGAGAAGTGGGAGGCACTGGGATACGTTTTGGGGGGACTGGGGAGACTTGGGGAGCATCGAAGTGTATGACAGGGGGTACTGGGGAGAACTGGGAGGCACTGGGGTGTGTTGTGGGGGGACTGGGGAGACTTGGGGAGCATCGAAGTGTATGACAGGGGGTACTGGGGAGAACTGGGAGGCACTGGGGAGTGTTGTGGGGGAACTGGGGAGATGGGGGGAGGATCAGAGTGTATAGCAGGGGGTACTGGGGAGAACTGCAAGGCACTGGGATGCGTTTTGGGGGGACTGGAGAGACTTGGCAAGCACTGGGGTGTATGGCAGGGGCCACTGGGGAGAACTGGGAGGCACTGGGATACATTTTGGGGGGACTGGGGAGATGGCGAGCATTCGAGTGTATGGTGGGGGGCACTGGGGAGAACTGGGAGGCACTGGGATACATTTTGGGGGGAGTGGGGAGACTTGGGGAGCATTGGGGTGTAGTGCAGGTGGAGCACGGGGGTGCCCAGGGTCGCATTGGAGGGGGGCACTGGGAGCACTGGGGTGGGTGTCGGCACCGGCAGGGGGCGCTCCCGCGTCTCCCGCCCTGTCCCTGCCCCGCCCACGCCAGCCCGCTTCCTTCCCACAACCCCCTGCGGCGGAGAGCGGCACGCTGGCCCCTCTCGCTTCCTCTCTATGCTCCCTCGCCCTGCGCCAATGAGGGCAGGCGCCGCTCGCGCTCCCAGCCTGCCCCGCGGCGGGGCAACATGGCGGCGCCCGTCGCCCTATCGGCGGCCCGGGCCGTGCGCTGGGTCTTGAGGGCCGCCGCGGCGGGGCCGCTCCTGCCGGGCCCAGGTGAGGAATCGCGGTTGGGGCTGAGGCCTTGCTACGGGGGCGGCCGGGGCCGAGAGGCGGCGGGCGTTTAGGCCGGGGGCCGCCGGGGGGCGGGTTTCTGAGGCGAGCCTGGTGGCGGGGCCGCTGTGGAGCGGGGCTGGGAGGCCGGGACAGGCCGAAACCGGTGCTCCGGCGCCGGTCCAGAGGTATTGGGTGAGGGGGGGAGCGCTGCCCGGGCGCTGCAGAGTGGGGAGAAAGGGAACGATACGGTTTTGGTTTTTTTTTACGCGCAGTTCTTTGGTACATGCAGTATTTGCTGTTTGTGTTCTTCCAGCCCGGCTCCTGGAGAGCTGCGCCCCGCGGGTCACCGTGCTCTCTGCCCGCTGGAGCGGGGGCAGCTCGGCGCTGGGCAGCATCCTGGGCATCCCCGCCGAGAAGCCGAGTGACTCCCTGGGCCAGCACCCACCGCCCGTTGCCACCAACAAGAGTGAGTGGTACCAGCTCCCACCCGGGTCCTGACACCGGGACGGATGATCCTGCCCCACTGGGATTTGGCAACATTCAAACTTGTTTTTTTTTTTCACTGGCAGAGGAGCAAGAGCGCCTGTTACGGAATAAGCCCGACCAGCCCCAGAACCCCAAGGTTTTAAGAATTGCCATCATTGGAGCACCCAATGCTGGGAAGTCCACCCTCTCTAATCAGCTCTTGGGCAGAAAGGTAAAGCTGGGGTGGAACAACTTCAGGCTGCCAAATAGCTTATTTGTTAGATTGTGGCTGAGTAACAAGTTTCATTTCTTACAGGTTTTCCCTGTCTCTCGGAAAGTGCACACAACCCGATGCAAAGCCCGGGGTGTCGTCACCTATGAGGACACTCAACTGGTGAGCTTCCAGACCTGCTCCTGCCTGGGGTCACTTGGCCAGAAAGCGCAGGATTTTCTCATTTATGTCCTGTGTGGTCACTTCTGATTGCACAAATACAAGTTTTTAGTTTGGTCGCTAACTTACAAGATTTGTTTTTTCTTCTTTCTAGATCATTCTGGACACACCTGGCCTCACTAGTCCCTTTAAAGCCAAAAGGTATCATTGCTGTTGGGGGAGAGCAGGGGAGGTTCTGTCTGTTGAGGTCTGATAAAACCAGAGAGTGATTTTGTAAAGTATGAGTGACAAGAATGCAACAATAAAAAAGTTTGGAGACCAAAGCAAGATAAAAATGCACAATTTCAGTAGCACACAGAGCCTGTGGGAATCCCTTGGTGGATGTCACAGCCCATAAGCTTTGTGTCAGCTGGAATGATGGAAAATGCTGTTTCCCCCCCCCCTTTTGAGGGGGAAATAAGACGATTATGATTGAGTGTGTCTGTCTTCCTCATTTTTATTTGTCTTTCAGACATAATTTAGATGAAGCCATGCTGACAGACCCATGGGACAGCATGAAACATGCGGATTTAGGTGGGTACTCAACTCTTCTCAGATCAAGCCAAACCCTTTATGTGCCACAGAAGTTTACAGCCCTGTAGCTGTGGTCTCCAAATGTTTACTGGGCAGCAAAAGCAGCCCTGGGAGCATGAACTAGGAGGGAGGCAGGAAAGGCAGTGAAAATATTTGAAATATTGAGCTGAGGAGTGGGTAAGAATTGCCTGGTGCCAAGGGGAGGCAGCTTGGGTTAATAATTGGTCTTGGATGTTGAGTTTTAGTAGGTGTCATGTCATTGGGATGACAGGTGTAAATTGAATTTTATTGTTTTATCATTTAAAATGCTCCTTTTTTAGTTCCACCTGCATGCTCTCCTGTAGAAGAGAGAGAAGCAGTAGCAGGAGGGAAGTGATTCAACCATAAGAGAAGCTGAAAGCAAATGTTTTGGAAAATGCAGATTTGTGATGTTTCCCTCCCTCTTTTCTGGCAGTTCTGGTTTTAGTGGATGTGTCAGATCACTGGACACGAAACTCTCTTAGCAAGGAGGTGCTGAAGTGTCTTTCTGAGTTTCCCGAGATCCCCAGTGTCCTGGTTCTGAACAAGGTAAACGAGGAGCTTGTTCTTTCCACCTCCTGCAGGTCGTTACACCAGTGTTTTCAGACAGTGCTTGGCATCAGCAGCGATGTGTTTTTAGGTCACTGAGTCTGAAAATGTTAAAAGACACCATTTTAACCCTCCAGAATATTTAAGTGTGTCTGTATGTATGTATACATACATGTTACATGCACACACATCCCTGAAGCTATATCCTGCAGGCTGGGGTTTAAATCAGCCTGGGAAGAGGAGCTGGCACCACTGTGGGTTTGGCCAGTGGGAATCTCAGCAGAGCTGACTGAGTAGGTGTTGCTGTCAAGAGTGTTTGGACAAACCATACTGGAACTGCTGGCACACACTGGTTTGGCCTCTGGTCAGAAAAATGTCTGGCTGAGAAGCCTTGTCCTGCAGCAGCTGCCTCCCTTGGATGGTTTCTTCTGGCTCCTTTGGATCCAGGGCCCGGCTGGCAACCAAAATTAGGACAAATTCCTGATACCTCTCTCTCTCATGTTAGGTGGATCTGCTGAAGAAGAAATACATCCTCTTGGAATTAGTAAATGACCTAACAGAGGGAATTGTAAATGGAAGGAAACTGGAAGCGAGATCTGCATTTAAAGATAATTCCAGTTCTTCAGCAGAGTCTCCTCTTCAAGTAACTCAGACTTCTCCACCTGAGAACAGGGCCCATGAGCCTCACTGTCTGCAGGAAGCAGATGGAGGCCAAGTAGGCTGTAGCTTGGACAACAGCAGTGATATGAGGGCTTCTGAGGCCAGGCTTGTTACAGAAGGAGCACAAGGGCCAAAGTGCTATGGACCTAAAGATGTAAAAAATATGAAGGGCTGGCCGTGCTTCAAGGAGATCTTCATGCTGGCAGCTCTCCGTGGGGAAGAGGTGGATACACTCAAGGTAACTGCGGTCTGAACTTCTCTTACACTTTGAGGCTGGTGTGCTCTCACCCTTGTGGGACTCTGCTACATCATACTGAGCTTCAGCTCCTGAGGAAGTAGCAGAGCTGCTGTTCTTGGCCTCGGGTGCAAGGGGGAAGTGTCATCTGTCCATGTGGAGCACATCCATGCTGTATCTCCAGAGTTTTCTGTGCAGAACTCTTATTTGAGGCTCTCCAAACGGAATCCTGTTGATAATGATGAAGCCACCCAATGCAGTATCTTTCAGCTACAAGTGATACTATGGGCTTTTATAACTCAAATGGCTCTAGGGGAGTGTGACCCTTTGGTAGGGTTTGAGCTTCAGAAGCTTCCCTTTCTCCTCTCCCCACCAAAGATACTGATCAACTGCCCTGATGCCTGTCTAGCAGCAGTGTCCTCATAGTGACGTGCTGCAAGATGAGTTGGAGGGGTTGGTGGCACCGCGAGGGTGGTACGTGACAGCTGATGGGTGTGATGTGTGTTTTATGCCGACAGCGGTACCTCCTGATGCAAGCCAAGCCAGGCCCTTGGGAGTTTCACAGCGAGGTCTTGACCAGCCAGTCACCCCAAGAGATCTGCGATAATATCATCCGGGAGAAGATACTGGAGTACCTGCCACTGGAAGTGCCCTACGGTGTGACTCAGGTGGGAAGCATATGCAAGCAGACTTGCTTTCGAGCTATTTTATTGGAGAAATATCAGACTAAGGGATGAGAATCCCTTTGTTTGAAGTTTTAACTCTTTACGGGCTCGGTGGGATGGCTTGGGGCTTGCACGTCAGGTGCTGGAGACCCTTGGTGTGTTTGGAGGGGAGCTCGTGTCAGGGAGCTGAGCTGGTGTCTCTGAGGGAGTGTTTTCTGTTCCTGAGGAGCTCTGCAGAACTGCTGAGTGTGCATTTGCTGTTGCAGGTGACTGAGATATGGGAGGAAGGACCGAGTGGGGAGCTCCTCATCGTGCAGAGCCTCTTGGTCCCAAGGAAGTCTCATATGGTGAGTAACAGAAGAGAGATGGGGCTCTGGGGAGCATGAAAGGAGGTTCCCTAGGAACAGTGCACGTGCATCTTTGCTGTGATCCCCTCTCCGTCAGTTGTGGGGTCTCTGTTGGGAAGAGCCAGTGCCTGACACAGTCACAGGCTGTTCAGTGACAGCTTACACCTTTCCAAAGTGACTGTTTGTCCATGGTTTGGTCTTGGGATTTCCCCAACTGCTGTATCCCCTTTTATTGCTTCCGTGGCTGCACTGTTGTTTGTTTCCCTGGGTGATTCCCCCTGGCAGTTAAGCGATGTAAGGATGAGTATGATGATCTTCTCTCTGGGTTTTAATGCAGATGATGTTGATTGGAAGAAGAGGTAAGGTCATCAGCAGGATTGCTCAGGAGGCTGGCCAGGACCTGATGAACGTTTTCCTGTGTGATGTTCGCTTGAAGCTGAGGGTGGATATGAAGAGTTGAGCTCTTTGTGTATGTTTTAACAGCCCTTGGGCTCTCTGGTCACGTGGAGAAACTGGTCCTGTTTTCCCCTGCGGATATCTTGGCACCTTTGTTCAATCCAGAAACAGAGGATGATGGAATTGATATAGTGAGCTGAAGTAGAATATATTATTCTTTGGGAGAATGGCCCAAGCTGAAATAAAATCATCTCCTGTGGCACCTTGTCTTGTGGAAGCTGGGGATGGACATCAGAGAACCAGCTGCAGGCACTGTGTTTATGGAGCTCTCATCCACTTCTCCGGGGCTGTGTCCTCTGTCCTTGCTGTCAAGTGTTTGTGCCTGGAAGTGCAGGAGCTTCTCCTGTCTTTTAGCGGACAAAGGGTTGCAGTGAAGAGTTACCAGCACACTTTTATCGTCCCTTCTGAAGGCTGAGTGACTCCAGCAGTGGTCGTGCAGGAGGAAGAGGCGACCCCTGCCCACGTGGTGGTCTTGTGTTGGCTGGTGAAGTTCACGGGAGTGAGCATATGACCATGTAGGGGGTCAGTGTTGCCCAGGCAGCCTGAGTGGGGGGGGTTTGTGGGCTAGCAGAAATGACTGGGGGTGACGGAGGAAGCTCTTAAACTTTCTGTAGATCACAAAGGCCAGTGGTTTCCAACTCCTGTGGGGGAGCCCTGCCCACAGGCTTGTGTGCACCATCCTCTCAGACAATTGCCAGCTGTTGCTTTCATTTTGACCTCTTCTGTGCAGGAGTTTGGACTTGTTCCTTCTTTTTCCCCTATTATCCTTTCTTTCAACTTCCTCAGCAGTTCACTGCTCCTGACTCATGGCTCTTGCTCCAGAGGGATGGGTCTGGTCACAGACCCTTCTGAGTGGATTCCTGGAGGAGCAGAGAAAGGGAACCATGATCTGTTCTCGATGTGTGTACGAGCTGCTTCCCTGCCCACCAGTGAGAGGAGCAGGGAGGTCAGAGCATGGACTTGTGAGTGTTTGCTGGAGCACGTTAATCAGAAAGGGGAAATGGAGCAGGGAATAGGTGTCTTTCTGCCTTTCCACATCTTGTTTCTAGTGCCTGGTGGCGTCCAGCCTGTCCACCCCTCTGGATGTTGAGTGTTTTGGTCTGAAGATGCCCCTAGCAGCATCTCATAGATGCTTAGTTCTTCAGAGTGGCTTGTTCATCATGCAAAGCCAGAACGGACCCCCTTTCTTAGCATTTTGAATAGTTTATTGCACCAACATTGCTGTAAAGTCGTTATATTTTGCCCGAGCGTTACAATTACAAACGGAGAGGCTGTTGCAGCTGAAAAAGAGCCTGAAGTGTGAACAGCAGTGGGACCTGGTGTCTGGGGGGGCTTGAATTTTGTCTCTGTTCACCACTCTGCTCAAGTGTTTGCAGCACTGGGTAGCTTCCTGCCAGAAATCCAGGTAAATCCCCATGTGCTGTTATAAATTAACACCTCTGAGCGTGGAGACCCTGGGCTGCTGCCCCAACAGTTAAATGAGGAGATCTGGTAGGGTCTGCTGGGGACTCTGCTCCTGCCTGGAACCCAAACCTGTTGAGCAAATCCTGTGCCCACCATCCCCTCTCTGGTGGAATGCCAAGGAGATGCTTTACCAGCACTGGGAAAAGCCTGTGGCTGGGCTGCTGGGGGATTCTGCTGCCAGGAATGCAGGATCACCTGAAAGCCAGGCTGAGAAGCCTCCAGAGCGTGGGCTGCCTTGTTTCCCCCCAAGCAGGGGACACGGTGCTCCCTTGAAGGTTTCTATGCAGCTTTTGTATTTTCCTTGCAATAAAATGAGGTCCCAGCACAAGCGATTGTTCTCCTCTCTTTTCTTCCTCCCCGTCAGCCAGACCTCACAGCCTACACCTTCCATCCGTTTTATTCCAGCTAAAAACAGGATGCTTTTATGTCTTTCCTCCTTTCTTCCCAGCTGAGCTTAGATCCCCTTTCCCAGCTTGTGGCGTCTGAAGGTTACACCTTGGAAGGAAGCTGGGTAAGAGTGCTTTGAGGGGTCAGAGGCATTTCTTTGGGTGGGGACATTCCCTCTGTGCAGATCATGGAATGGTTTGGGTTGGAAGGGACCTTAAAAACCATCTCCTTCCAACCCCCCTGCCCTGGGCAGGGACACCTCCCACCAGACCAGGTTGCTCAAAGCCCCATCCAGCCTGATCTTGAACACCCCCAGGGATGGGGCAGCCACAGCTTCTCTGGGCAACCTGTTCCAGTGTCTCACCACCTCACAGGAAAGAATTTTTTCCTAATACCTAATGTAAATCTCCCCCTTTTCAGCTTAAAACTGTTACCCCTCATCCTGTCACTTGTAAAAAGTCTCTCTCCAGCTTTCTTTTAGTCCCCCCTTCCACAGAGGCTTGTCCCAGGCTCCTTCCCAAAGGGCTGGAGCTGGGTGCCCAGAGCTGTGGCTGGTCCTGGGGGCGATGGGAGGTGGGAAGGGCTGAAGTCACAGAACCATGGAACGGTTTGGGTTGGGAAGGAACCTTAAAAAGATCATCTAGTTCCAAGCCCCGTGGGCCAGGGACACCTCCCTCCAGACGGGCGTGTTGGAGAAGCCTCTCCCCTTAACGAAGTTTGGATGAAATCACTCCTGTTAATGAGGTTTGATAATTAGGCTAATTAACACGTGGCGAGCCAGACTTTCCTCCATGGGGGAGAGGTGGTGTGTGTGTTTTAATTGATTTCAGGAAGGTGTGGGGGGAATTGATTTCAGGAAGGGGTGGGGGGAATGGACCTCAGGAAGGGGTGGGGGAGGATTGACTTCAGGAAGGTGGGAGGTGGTCCCCGAAGCTTTCTTGATGCGGGCATCACCAGGGGGGGCTCAACTGGAGGGAGTCCTCTGCACTCATGAGACCCCACCTGGAGCTCTGTGTCCAGCTTTGGAGTCCTCAACAGAGAAAGGACATGGACCAGCTGGAACAGGTGCAGCGGAGGGCCACGAAGATGATCAGAGGGATGGAGCACCTCTCCTATGAGGACAGGCTGAGGGAGCTGGGATTGTTCAGCCTGGAGAAGAGAAGGCTCCGGGGAGACCTTATAGCGGCCTTTCAATATCTGAAGGGTGCCTATAGAAGAGCTGGGGAGGGACTCTTTGCCAGGAAGGGTAACGATAGGACAAGGGGAAACGGTTTTAAATTGGAAGAAAAAAGATTCAGATTAGATCTCAGAAATTTTTTTACTATGAGGATGGTTAGACACCTGGGTCCCTCCCCACAGAGCTGCTCTCCAGCAGGCCAACCCCTAACCTGTACACCGGTGCCTGGGGTTATTCCTCCCTCAGTGTAGAGCCCTACACTTGCCCTTGTTGAACAGCATGAACAGCATGGGGCCTTGAGCAACCTGCTCTAGTGGGAGGTGTCCCTGCCCAGGGCAGGGGGGTTGGAAGGAGATGATCTTTGAGGTCTCTTCCAACCCAAACCATTCCGTGATTCTATGACTCCCATCCGGTTGGTTGATCCTCCCGTTCCCCTCCGGCGCTCGGCGCTGTAGTTCATCCCTTGGGCCGCTAGGGGGAGCTGCAGAGAGAGGGGGAGAGACACGGTCCCGCGGCGCATGCGCCTTAGGCTGGAGGGGGTTGGGGTGGGGGGGGCGGTTGAGGCGCATGCGCGGGAGCGTCTGGCGCAGCCACCACGGCGAGAGCGGGCGGGCGGCGGCGGAGGGGGCGGTGCACTGTTTGGCACAGAAGAAAGTGCATGAAACATCCCTTGTGCACAGCGCGTCCCTTTGCAGGAGCATCCCTTTGCACACTGTCCCTGTGCACGATGTGTCCCTGTGCACAGTCTGTCTCTTTGCACGATGCATCCTTGTGCATGGCGTGTCCCTGTGCACAGTGCACCTTGCACAGAGCCTACGTTTTGCACGGAGCACCCTGCACCACCAACCCCCACAACCAACCACGCTACAAGCCCAGAGGGGGCACAGGCAGCACCCCCGGGGAGGTCACAGCAGAGCTGCCCGTGCAAAGGCCACCTTGGCACGGCCACTTCCATGTCTTGCAGCAAAGCAACCGGCTCCCGTGTGGGCCCTTCCCCGCTGGCAGCCAGGGTGCAACGTGGCCACTTCTTTTCTCCCCAGGGTTTGTCAACACGGAGCTCTTCCGCCACACGCCGCTCTGGCTGAAGCCATTCTTCCTGCCACTGGTCTGGCTTTTCTTCTGCGAGGCGGACGAAGGTGCCCAGACCTCCCTGTACTGTGCCACGCAGGAGGGCCTCGAGCGCTTCAGCGGCCGCTACTTCGCTGACTGCCGCCTGCAAGAGCCGTGGCCACTAGCCCGCGACGACCGGCTGGCCCGGGCGCTCTGGGAGGCCAGCGAGAGGCTGGTGGGGCTGGTGGGGGCTGGGGAGAGCCCCTCGCCGTCCCCTGCTGCTGTCATGCAATAAAAGTGATGGTGGTGAACGGGAGGGAGCCGGCAGTCAGTGCCTGCGTCAGGCTGGGTGGGGAAATGGAGCCAGAGGAGGCAGAGCACGTCCGGAGGAGCCTTGCACGCCCATTGCACGCTGCGGTGCACACACCCTGCCTCGCACAGAATGGCAGGGGTTGGAAGGGACTTCATTAGAGAGGTGTTCCAGTCCCTCGATCATCTTCGTAGCCTGTCTTTCTTGAACTGGGGAGCCCAGCACCAGACACAGTGCTCCCGATGCGGCCTCACCAGGGCAGAGCAATGGGGGGGGGGGATGACCCTCTATTCTGCACTTGCCCCTCTACTCTGCACTCGTGAGACCCCACCTGGAGTACTGTGTACAGCTTTGGAGTCCTCAACACGGAAAGGACATGGACCAGCTGGAACAGGTGCAGCGGAGGGCCACGAAGGTGATCAGAGGGATGGAGCACCTCTCCTATGAGGACAGGCTGAGGGAGCTGGGATTGTTCAGCCTGGAGAAGAGAAGGCTCCAGGGAGACCTTAAAGCGGCCTTTCAATACCTGAAGGGTGCCTACAGGAGAGGTGGGGAGAGACTCTTTGCCAGGAAGGGTAATGATAGGACAAGGGGAAACAGTTTTAAATTGGAAGAAAAAAGATTCAGATTAGATCTCAGGAAGAAATTTTTTACTATGAGGGTGGTGAGACACTGGAACAGGTTGCCCAGGGAAACTGTGGCTGCCCCATCCCTGGAGGTGTTCAAGGTCAGGCTGGATGTGGCCTTGAGCAACCTGCTCTGGTGGGAGGTGTCCCTGCCCAGGGCAGGGGGGTTGGAACTAGATGATCTTTGAGGTCCCTTCCAACCCAAACCCTTCTATGATTCTATGATTCTATGACCTCTCGACCTGCTGGCCATGCTCTTTTTAACACACCCCAGCAGACCGCTAGCCTTCTTGCCCACAAGGGCACACTGCTGGCTTGTGGGCAACTCATTGCCCACCAGGACTCTCCCCACAGAGCTGCTCTCCAGCAGGCCAACCCCTAACCTGTACACCGGTGCCTGGGGTTATTCCTCCCTCAGTGCAGGGCCCTACACTTGCCGTTGTTGAACAGCATGATTCCGCCCAACTCTCTTGGCCTGTCCAGCCTGGCTAATGGCGGCACAGCCCTCTGGTGTGTGTGTGTGTGTCCCCTCACCACGTCCTCACAGCCTGCTGCCATCAGGCCCCACACAACCACCTCCCAACATGGCGGCGCCCACAGGACGCTCAGCCCCGCCCCCGAGGTGCGGCGCGCCTCAGCGCCGACCTTCCCAAGATGGCGGCGCCCACAGGGCACTCCGCCCCCGTCTCCCACCCCTCCCCGCGGAGGTGCGGCTTGGGCTCAGCGCTGACCCTCCCAACATGGCGGCGCCCGCGGGTCGCCCCTTGCGACGTGCGCCGCGCGGGGGCGTGGCGTGGCGCCGCGGGGGGTTGTGGGAGCGGGCGGTGAGGAGGAGGAGGAGGAGGCGGCGGGCGGTGGTGTGGGCACCATGGGCAACTGCCACACGGTGGGGCCCAACGAGGCGTTGGTGGTGTCAGGTACGGCCTGAGCCTCGCAGGGGCTGGGGAGGGGGAGGGACGGGAGGTTGGGGAGGGGGCTGTCATGGGGGAAGAAAGGCTTGAGGGGGGACCTGGGCGCATGCGCGGGAGCGTCTGGCGCAGCCACCACGGCGAGAGCGGGCGGGCGGCGGCGGAGGTGGCGGCGGTGTCTGAGGAGAGGAGGAGGAAGAAGAAAAAGAAGAAGAAGAAGAAGAAACCAACCAAAACCACCACCAACAACAACGGCGGGGCCGGTACGGGCACAGCGTTGCGGCGGCGCCATGAGGCCCGGGCAGGGGCACCGAGAGTAAGTACACAAGAGGGGTTTTAGACTACGTGAGGCTGGAGGGCCCTAAGCGGTGTGGCCCACACACGCCACACACCACACACACACCCCCTCCCGCCTCATTGTCCTTCCCGGGTGTCCCCTCCCTCCATCTTCTGAGGCGGCGTGAGGTAACCCCGCTGTCGCGACACCTCCTTCTGTCGCGCTTTTCAGCCCTTTTTCCTTTCCCCTTATCGAACACAATCGCGATAGGACGCCAGGCGTCGCGACAGAGAAATGCCTTCATTTTTGGGGGGGGAAGGAGGAAAAAGGCGTGTTGAGGGAGTGGGGGGGGGGTGGCGATGGCGATGTGTGCGAGCTCCTTTGTGTAAATCTCAAGAAAAAGTGGCTTTTTATTCCCCCCTCCACTCCCAAGAGGTGTCGGTAATAATTTTCTTGATGGTTCTGATTTCCCAGTATTTTATTTCTTATATTTTTATTTTTTCCAAGCATCTTTAACCCAAGGCGTGAAGAGAGGAGGCAGAGCTTGACTTTATACCCGGTTTTTGGGGCCGCCCGTGCAGGCAAAGTACTTAAATCCTTTTGGTTGTGCAGCTTATGATCCTCCCAGAGCAGCACCTGGGAGGGCTTATGGACCTGTTACCCCCCCTTCCTCCTTGGTATCACCTCTTATGGGTACAACTTTTTAGGAGAAATCACAGGTGCAGGTTAGTTGGCTCAGTAATAACTCATCACACTCACTTCTTATCGCAGCCCTTAATTTTTTCTTTCTTTAATCACCTCTAACACCTCAGAAAACACGAGTTTATTGGGAAAACTTTTCGCGACGATACTTTTGCCTCCCTGTTGCCCCAAACCCCCTTCTTTGTTGCGCCGGTGGCTGCGGGGAGAGCCACGCTCTGGGTGGATGAGGTTGGGTTCCTGAGTGATGTCATTTGTGCTGGAGCAACGGTGATGACTTTGTGATTGAATAAATCCTACTGGACGTGTCGACTGGCTTCGTGATTTTGTGTGTGTGTGTGTGCGCTGTGGAAACTTCCTCTGATTCAGCAGCCGACTGACAAAATTCTGTGCTCGCTGCTACGTAGGCAGTAAGGGAATAGAGTGGTGATAGTTGCTTTTTTCCTTGCAGCGCGTGTATTTCTGTATTTTTTTTCCACCTAAAGAATTGGAACTTGTTAGAATCCATTTCAGTAAATATATAAAGCAGCGGGGAAAGACGCTGTTGAAGCATCTTAGAGATATTAGAGGTGGAGAGAGCAGGGTCTCACAGACAGCAGGCTGGGGAGGGAAGGGTGCAGGGGGAGCATACAGGTGGGTCTGGTGGCCTGTAAAGCCAGTCCAGAGGGTCTGAAAACTCTCGGGGGGGAAAAAGCATCGACAACAGAAATCAAGCAGCAGCAGATTAACCGATCGCTACTTTTTAGTAGAGGAAGGTCTGGATCAAAAGCAAGTAAGAGTCGGAGAAAACAGAGGGTAAGATTTGCAATAAATACAGGGTCTGCAGCTCTCAGAGAAAAATGCTTCCATAAAAGAAAGGCTATTTATTTTTAAAATTATATTTACACCGTGCGGCAGGGTAGAATTTGTGAGGTGAAGAAATCAGAGATTGACCCTTTTCTGGGGGAGTCACAGGTTGAGCTGGAGCTAGGAGATGAATAGTCCATAATTTAAAAGCATCACTTCAAATATTTTCAATATTTCTCAACTATTTTAAGAAGCCATATTGAGTTCAAGCCCAACCAGCCTGATAGTCTAGAGAGAGGAAGGATATGTATCGCTGGAACAAGAATTAAGCAAAAATAGATAAATCTGACATAATGGATGACAAGGGAAAGATGATTGCTGAAAGATGTTGGCATGCTCTCTGTTCCTTCATGCTTGGTGTATATTTTGTTGTATTACATGGCTTTTGAAGTGTAAAAAAAAAAAAAAAATTAAAAAAAAATCTCATTTTATGCTGAGATAAAAGAAAAGGCAGGTGCTTAAATTCTGTTAAGGATCAGCTTTGATACTGACATGAAGTAGTGACCTTACTTGCAGTTATCCCTCTGTCATTTTGTGAATTTCTCAAGAGAATAAATAATGCGCTTAGCACCAAATAAATACCCTTTAATAAGATGGTATTTTTGATCACCCTTTCACTTCACATTGCAAACAGATTCACACTTTTTCTGTTTGAGCACAGCCTGGGGTGCTATTTCTGCTAATAGCATTAAAAAATATGTTGGAGTATGTCCACATAGTATTGTTTTTTTCTCCAAATGTAGAATTAAGGAACCCTTATGTTCTCTGTAACTTGGATATTTGCCTTTGTTTAAGTCTTATTTGTATTTGTTTCAAGTTGTCCTCTGGTAGATAAGCTTTTATATCTATGTTTGCTTCTGGGAACTGTTACCAGATCAAGAGACGAAGTAAGGATTTTGTCAAGGACTGAAGTATCTCTATTTCCCAGAAATGCAGCCTGCTGTGCCATGGGCAGGAGCCTTAGCTTGTATCCTCGCCTGCACTCACCGAAACACCTGGATGTGGGATAGTTTCCTCCCCAGTGATGGCCTTTTCTTTTCCACCTTGGTTCCACGAAGTCCATTCGCCTTTATTCTTCTTCATTTTTGCCCTGGCTGCCCCCCACCCCAAAGCCTGCATCGCTTAAACATTTTGCATCCTGAATATTGCTGGCTCGCTCATTTTCAGCGAGGTAATAGTGAGGGGAGTCACTGATTTATGAAGATGGGAGATGAAGTAATGTCCATTCTGTATTTCTTTAAAGCTTGGTAATTTCCAGGATTCTGGGATTTATGGAATGACTAAATACACCAGCGAGAACATAGCCCCAGCCTGACTTACTTGATTTATTTAACAGACGATCACAATTTTGAAATAATTGCTTTAAGAACGTGTAGTTCACTGAAATACTACACCCAACAGTTGAGTAACAGGTCACACTGTAGGCTGTATCCGGGGCCCGCTGACTCCTCTAAGGCTGTTTGTGGGGTAAGATGCTCCTGAAGATGAGTAACGGTTTCACAGCTTTCTGCATCTGTAATGAAGTGTCTCACCCCACAGCTTTCCATTTTCAGCATTTTAAATGTTTTCAAACCGGGAAGTTAAGTGAATAATTTAAATTTTTATTCCTTGTGTGGTGTGCCGTATTCCCGTTTTCTCATTCTATTTTGTGACTCGTATTAAAATCTTAAGCGTAATGGTCTTTGAGCAATTTTTCTTTTAATTGCAGATCGTTAGTTTGAATATGAATGCTAAAATGAGTTTGTCACACTGTTCATCTTTTTTCTTTCTAAAAAAAAAAAAAAAAAGGAAAAAAAAAAGCTTTCCAAGTACTGATTCAGCTGCTGGGGAGCAGAGCTCCTGAAAAGGCATTCTGCTGACTGGCATCCAGAAAAAGTTGCTTTTAACTTTGCCCAAAGATACTTTTTTCCGATGGGTTGTATTCCTCAAAAGCTAAGTTTACTTATCCCAAATAGCCATAGCTTGGCCTCAGTCTTGCCTACACCTGGAACTGACAGAGGCCAGCACCTTCACCGGCTTCTGGTTTCAATGTTTTTAGTAATTTGATTTAAATGGGCACTTAAAAAAAAAAAAAACAAAACAGCAACGACTGTGGTCCCTGGCTGATCTCGGTTTACGTAGGCTCTAGACCCCTTTTCCTTAATTTGGTACATTCTATCTGGTTGTTTCTTCATGCTTCCCATCTCATTTAGTAGCTGGTATGTTGTTGCTGTAATTATTCTCCCGTTGTGCTCAGGAATTAAGCGCAGTGTGCGTATTCCCATTGCTTAACTTGTTTATACTGCGTTTGAAGATCAGTCCAAGTTTCCAGGGTCTGTGAAGAAAATGGGTGATAATTTCGTTATTGGAATAATTTCACAAGAACGTAGTTTGGCTGCAGTCTGGCTGTGGTACGGAATAGCGGGGGTGTAGTACTTGGGAGAGATATATATATTTTTTTTTTTAAATGTAAGTTTTCCAGTCCCGTGCAGCGTCGCCCAGTCTGTGGCTGGTGGTGTGCTTGGAACACATGGAGCAATTGAGCTGAACGTCTGGGTTATTGATGTATTTAGAGATAACTGAACTGCTCCAGGCTTTTAAATAGATGCATCGATGGGTGTGCTATAGAGAAATGTTTTCGAAAGCAGGTTTCCTGTAAATGCAACTCATCTGAGGCAAACCTTTAAATAAAATTCTGTTGGATGAGGTGGCAGATCCTGCCTCCAGCGGGAGCGGGCTCTGTAGCATCTTTGGTGTGCAATGAGTGAGACAGTTTTTTAATTTCTTACGATGTCTGTAGTAATGTGATGCAGAAAAGGTGAACCATGAAAGTGAAGCTATTTTTGGTATTTAAAAAAAAAAAAAAAAAAGGCAGTCAAAAAACGATCTACCAAGTGATACGTTGCTGACGTCTGTAGTGCAGCCAACCCAATTAAGGTGCCGTATATTGTTTCCAGCAGGATTCTGATTGTTTCTAATTTGGGAACCACGTGAGAGCTAGTGGAAATAGGTGAAACGACATGCTTTGCTACTGGGAGTAGATCTAGCATCCCGTTGTTTTCTGTAATTTCATTTCTCCTACTTGGGGGCAATCTCCTCGTCCGGCGTGTCGCAGCTGAGATGGAGACGGTAGCCACGCGCAGCCTCCTCCAGGTGATTTCTTCCTGTATGGTGAGTGTGGGGTTCCTGGCAAAGAAAAATGATTTCCTGCTATAGGGAGAGCACAGGGCAGTGGAAGAGGTTAAAAAAAAAAAAAGAAAAGTGGGTTTCCTTGGTAAAATATTGCATAAGTCAAGTGCTGGGGATTTTTTTTTTTTAATTTCCTGACTCTGGCGTGTCCTTTGCTGTATCCTGCTCTCCCTCCTCTTGCCTTCATGTTGTTAAACTTCGAGCGTGTGTTTTAGAGGACTCACATATCACAGTCCTGCCCTTTCCTGTGGCTGTTGCCTTGCCACTCATTTTGTTCCTCTCTGTAGGCAGTTTCTGCACGCACAACGCTTTGAGAAATGTCGTAC